AATTATGACTAATCTCGTAATATTACAACTTTAATCTTATAATATGACTTTATTCTCATAAAATTACAGCTTTAATCTCGTAATAATATTTAAAAAATCTCGTTGTGTGGCCCTAACACTCCGTCGTAAAAATGATCCAGGTTGCCTCAGTAACTAAAGTAAAATGGATAAACTTAGCATTATCGTGACAAACAGTAGCTCCTGGATGCTAAGTCTTGTAGCATTCTGTTGATGGATTCCCCTTCTGTCCCACTTAAAACAAATCAGACACTGATGGCATTTGTAAGGATTAATCACTACAAAGAGGTAACACAGAGTCAGGTTTGCAATTTGCCTTTGACTCTTGTAATAAATAAATGCAAGAAGCAGGCAGAGGTGCAAATTGGAAATGACACTCGTCTCCGGAGCAACAGAGCTACCTCGGCTCCTGCTTCATTACAAAACCACTTAGATCAAGAAAAAAAAGAAGTAAAAATTAGCATTTTGTTTACTAAATTTGATTTCTAATTCCACCATTCAATCTTGCCTAATTTGTTTCTCACATCTGTTTGTGCATGAAATGTGTTTTTATTTCAAAAGCTAAGTCAGTAAACTGAGGGTTTAAAGCTGAAGATCCAATTTAGCTTTTCTGCAATCATAGGCGAAGAAGAAGAAAGAAATGGCGTACAAAGGTCTAAAAGTTTAAACATCTTGCGAGAAGACTTGATACAAATAAAACACCTCTTTCAAAACTGCCCCCAAAAAAACAGCAGCACCCGACCCCACCGAGAATCAAACCAATCAGGTCGTTAAGGGAAGAGACTTTGTGGGGAAAAAAACAACCTTGTCAAGCCAACCAAAGTCAAGAAAAAGCTGTGAACAGGAGCAGCAAACGTCAAGTTCAGGTCTGCGGACAAAATAACACGATCTGCTCACAGGATTTCTGTAAAAAAAAAAAAACTGTCGGTGATTTAGCTGAAAGCTGCAGGAATATGACCTTCAAGAAAATACTGCTGATGAAATAAAGCCTCTCATAAACCAGCCTGGCCTTTTATGTCTTCAGGACTTAAATATCACAGAAGCAAAACATGTTTATTAAAAAAAGGGAAAAAAAAACCTCCAAAGAGTTTGGACATCACTCTGGGGCTGCAACGATTAATCGATTAATTGATGACTATCCATCCATCCATCCATCCATCCATCCATCCATCCATCCATCCATCCATCCATCCATCCATCCATC